TTCTTATGCGCTACCGGCAGGCGCAAGAAATCAGCGCGAAGTCACGAAATACGCAATTTCCGGGAAGCGCATGACCTTCGGGCGCACAAAAACGCGTTGGTTTGGACCGCCGCTTTACGCTCACGCGTTACCTTCGGCAGGGCTTTGTTTTTTTCGCAGGCGCTGTTTCCAACAGGCTGATGAGAGGTGTCCCATATAATACATCCTGTGTTACCACTGCCTTTGCGACGGTGGTGTGTGAAATAGCATAATGATAGGCAGTTCGACTCCGGCTTGAGACCCATCATAGTCACGTGCCGGGGAGAGTTGAAAGAAGCATTTGCTATTACTCAACACACAGATTTGGGATGGGGTTTAGGCTTTACAATCCCATCACAAAAACCCGCGCATACTCTTCCTGCCTGATTCCCCACGGAGCCCTGGCAGTTGTTGGCTGCTGTTTCAGTCGTGAACCCAGTCTTTTTTTCTTTTCTTTTTTAATACACATTAATTGTCAGAGGGCGGTATGTAGGTGGATGAAGATAAAAGTCTAGGACTGTTTCAAAATGTACATTTAAAACTATTTTCATGTTCATCACAAGTACTTTTCGCAGCAACGAGTTTGACATCAACCATCAAAAATAATATTCACAAAGTTTATAATGAACACTTTTACATATTTTTTCACATGTCCACAGCCAGAAAAGTCTAATAACAATCTGTTTGCTTTTGCCTCAGATGGTCTTGTGGAATCAGGGATACAAACAAAAAATTGAGTACTTTGACATGGAACAACTTCCGGATATACAGGTTGAGTATCTACAGCAAATAGTCAGATTTCATGATATACGAAATATTCATACTCTCGCTAAAACAGTATTAGACAAAATATAAAAGTACTCTACAGACTAGCGTAATATATAGAGTCAGCTACGCTATAGTGGCAACTGAAGCTTCTCAGGCGAGTTTTCTGCCTTCATGAGCAAAAGGCAACTTGCGAAAAATGTCCTTAGGACTTAGTCCTCGGAGCGAATACACACGGCTTGCGGGGCGACGGACCAGATTGAAAAATTCACAGAAAACTAATTATGGTAAATATCGAAACTCTCTCTTGGAATATAATAATAGGCATACAGAGGTACATGATAGGAGAAAAATTAATCTTGTCAGACGATTTGTGTGACTTCCTGAGCGAGGGGCAACTGCCCCAAAAAACGTTTGGACTTAGTCGCCACAGCGCAGAGAGCCGAATTATTGTACAAAGGACGAGATTAAAAAATCAAAAAAAAAAATTATAATAATGATCAAAATTGTTTCCTGGAATGTGATGCTATACATATCGAGCTATGCATTGAAATGCGAAAGCATCATAGTCCCGCGGGTGAAATGTTTTCTAGTAATGCTTCTATACGTATTAAAGTTTAGGACGACGTATAGGACGACGTCGAGGACGACGTCCCAGAGATCAACGCGAAGTGAGGCATCTATGTCGACCTCTAGGACGACGTTGAGGGTGACATCTAGGACAACGTCGAGAGCGACGTCAAGGACGTCATCTAGGACGACGCGGAAGACGACCTCTCAGACGACCTCGAGGACGACGTCTAGGATGACGCCTAGAGGAGGACGTCTAGGACGACCTCAAGGACGACGCCTTGAGGACGACATCTAGGACGACCTCAAAGTACTGGTTGGCGACGTTAGACCTCAAAGCGTAATGTTAGTCCTAACGTCAGGCCAGCGCATACGCGCGTCCCACCTTCACGTCAAACATTGCGCGCACCGGTTGACAACGTTAGATCTCAAGGCGTGACGTTGTACATAACGTTACGCCTGACGTCAGCCCAGCGCATACCCCCCCCTCCCCCCCCCTCCCCCCCCCTCCCCCTTACCGCGGTGCCGCCAGCAGGTTAGCTGGCTCTTCGGCAATAATGACCCCGTTGCTATGGAGCCACATGACGCGTCGCACCCAATGGGAATTTAGGTCTCGTTACACTCAGCCGATAGCAATTTAGGTGGCGTCTTTCAAGGGGTATTCACACGAGGGAGAAATCCCGGGGATTTCTTCCCGGCACGCGCGCATCACGAGACGAAAACGCGAGGCTTTGGCACATCGTAAAGCCTGACGTTTTCGTCGCGGGATGCGCTGGCCGTGGAGAAATCCCCGGGATTTCTCCCTCGTGTGAATACCCCTTCACCGTCTTCACTCCATGGGGCAGTTAATGTTTTCGCATTATTACATATTTAATCTGTTGAGATAGTAAATGTTTTGAGTGGAAAATCCGTGCTGGCCCAACCATGCTTTAACGCTATTGCAAGCTCTCGATTATCACGGAATTTTAGACCTCAATAACTCAAGATTGAACCTGAATTTAAAAATGCTCTTTTGGAATATATTAAAGCTAAGATTGATAAAATAATCGTATTTGACTTCAAGTGTCTGTGGCGCCAAGATTTTCTTCCTGGGAAGTGAATGTCATGGTCTCTTTTTTTAATGGGGGTCTATAAAAACCGGTTCATTGATTCAGGAAGAAAATATAATGGTCGTGTGGCCTTGAGTTTTTTAAAATAGGCGGGCTATTAGGTCACTATTATAATCCTTTGGGTGAGAAAAAATCGGCGGGTTCTTTACTGAATTACAGAAATATGAATCTTTTTTTCCCGTTGAGTTAAGCTGGGGCGCTGAAGTGACCGCCGAGAGATGGCGTAAGTTGTAAGCAGCGGCGTGTCCCGGATTTTCGGGGCCAAGCGAGTAAGATGGCCCGGCACCCGGAGGCCGTGCTCGCAAACGTGTATAGATGTCAGTAGTTTGCAACTTGTACACTTGAAAAACAAGTTCGCCTTGTGTTCTTAAGATTCTGGAGCGAGCTCATCCATTTTCTTTCTATTTACTTATAGAAAATGTTTCAAGCACTTTCCTGTATTTATTAGTATCATATACCTGTTGGCCACATTAACCAATTGGGATGCGTAAAAAGAAAAAAAAAAAACAACAACAGCCATAGCAGTTGGGTTTTTGAACGCGCGTTTTTCATATTAATATATTTTTCACCAATACATTATATGTTTTCCTGCTTAATGAAATATTTATTTTTGAAACTATTTAGACTAATTAAGTTTTCAAGACCTGATCTCTTTAAAATTTCCTGGAATTTGAGAGCGTCATTGGTTACAAAATATATTTGAAGCCCTCAGTTCTATATTGAAGATAAAACGACAGCGTTAATATATATATATACATATATATATATATATATATATTCAATTACTGAGTGGCCGCCTTTGTATGCAACCCGGAATTATAGAGCAATGTTTTATTTCCTTCATTCTCTACTGACGTAAACTTCCAGGTTGTCTTAATCGATATTACAGACGGACTTTCCGTCAATATTTATTTAATCTGCATCAGAACTCCAAACCCGAAGAATGATTTTTATTTCAATTTGTTTACATTAATAAAAGTGCCTAGCCTCTGAAAGCCAAAGCTTTCGATAGAAACACCAGGTCTCCTCGGACCACCAGTACCCAAATTTATAGCAAATGCAAACCATGCATCAGATGTATTCGCCTACCAAGCTGGCCGTCCCAATTGGTTTCCTTTCGTAGATCGGCGTCTTCGGGATGCTTTTCCTCTTCTTACCTTTCTCGGTGCACACAGGCGGGAACGCAGGAACCGTGGATGAAGTCACTACTGACAGTGTGATACTTCGCTCTCAGTGGTCTGGCGAGTGAGTTGCTCTCGGTGCCGATCCCCCAACCAAACTCCTCGTACCGCCGTTTTCACTTTGGACACGGAATTTTCGTTTCCTCATTTTGCCTATGGTTATACTATCGGCAGTATGGTCAAAGGAAGCGCATAGCGCGGTATATAAATTAATATATGAAAAAAGTCAGAAAAAAAAGGAGAAGCAAAAAATAACGTTATTTACAGAGATACTATACGTGATTGGCGATTCTGATCCATAATCTTTCCGTAAACCCTAAGAAAAATCCAGCTACACTTGATTGCATGTTTGTGTCTCAAATAATATACTTATGCGCCGGATTTGACCCTAATACGATTTAAACTAAATTTTGACATTACAGACAAACTTTAACGCAAATCACTTTCGCTTCATGGCGAAAGAGCTCTGGACGGAAACATGACACGAAGTCAAATAATCTATTAGCCTATTTGACATCTATATACGAGTAAATATTTTCGTAGAAAAAACAACACTGAGTGGATCTACTTTGTAAAGCGCATTAACGAGGATGATTTGATTACGAAATTTAATTTTTATTGAACTTCACGAAGATCGACGCGGTCCATCCTGGAGCTTTAGGGCCAACGCGTTGCGTCATCGATGGAAACAGAAAGGGAACTTCTCCGATCAGTAGATACTAGGTAGTTTTCAGGGACATCGTTTTTTTTTTTTTTTTTTTTTTTTAGGGGAGCTAGTGCTACGTGGACTGCATCTACCGTGACCAGGTTTCATCTTGTTTCGATTAAGCTAGCCTTGTGGTACTTGGATAGTCACCGACATCAAGTTCCTAAATCCTAGTTACCCTAATTCTACTTGAGCAAGAGCAACGAACAGCGAAAATTGACATCGGCAAGATACACATGCAGGGGCAGGCTTGTAAAGGCTGGTTAACACATCTGCGTTATTTGTGTTCGCACGCAACCAAAACGACCGTAACGACAAAGTCATCGGGACAAATGTTCGCCGTACACAGCATGGTAAGCGATGCAGGGGTTCTAGGCTCGCGAAGCAATCCATGGGTCACGGTTGTTGCGATGTTTTGGTCGTTTCGGTCATTTTGGTTGCATTCGAACGCAGCCAGCGCAAATGTGAGAGCCAGTGCTTATTTCACGAGTAGCAAGTCATTGCAAGCCTGACAAAGGTACCCATGGGCCCCTGCCTGTGGAGGGTCGGCGAAGGTTATTGCTGTTTGTTGCTCGAGTCGGACTAAGGCATAAAAAACAACGTAATTGTGCCACCGCCTTTATAAAGACACACAAAGAGGAATGGCCACGTGAAAATAGAACATCGTTTATTGAAAGCCTTCGAACGAGATTGTGACAACTTAAGACTAAATTAACACAAACGAACACCAATGAACGGGAACTGACAGCCCTACAGTGGTATGTGCTTTTTTTTTTTTTTACACATCAGTTTCTGCTGTACAAGATTGGCATCAATCATTCTGCTGTACACTGCAATCGACAGGGTGCTCAGCCTGATATGTTGCTTCTGCGTCGCAGGTCCTCTTGCTGGGGTTACTGCTTTGACACCGTTTCGAAACGAGACCACGATACATGCCACGCAACACTGCAACTGTTCGAGAGCTCATGACTCGGACAACACGACACTGGACTTAGCTTTTTCTTTGCTTTTTTTGCATACTACTCGATTCGGTGCAAGACCGCATTTGCAAGGTGGGAGCTACGGGTGCTAATAATATAAAACATACAGGAGATTATAACACTACGCACTTTCTGTTGTTGTAGCGACTGTGCGAACTATGAACATAATAAAAATGACAGTGCTTTGAACCTCGTCGACGCTCGTTTAAAGACATTTATACAGCGAAGAACGCTTCACGTTAGCTAAAGTCACTCACTGTTTCATTGAGCGCAATTAGGAGTGAACACCGTAGGCGCAAAGTGAATTCCCAACAGTGAATTCAGATTGAATTCCCCGAGATTTGGGTATAAATATTTTTAAATCCTATGATTTCTGACCTGATTTTATTTGACACTAATTGGAGGATGTCGCGGGATACTCAAACAAAAGACAATGGAAAACAAGGCTTAAATAAAATTTATACTCCGGTTTATACGCATTGAAAACGAACGGCTCTACCTCGCGTTTTATATGCTCTAGAGCGCGCAAAAATTAGAGGCTTGATGGAGACACGTGTTCGTTCCAGGAGCTTTGACAGTTCTGCATGAAAGTCTGCATGAAACATGGCATAGACATTCTGAGGCAGGAATGTTAAGAGTGACGTAACTCGGAATAAACCCGAACAAACTTCTTATATGTTATAAATAGTAAAATTTATCGCACTTTTTTTTCAAACAACTCATTTACACTGGGCGATATATGTTTTCGTAGATTATAGTGACTTCACAATACCCCAAGAACGGTCATCAAGACAAGCGCGAAGCCATATCTATTACATGGACAGTCATGGTCGGCTGAATTCATGAGACGTTTTTTTTTTAATATTTTTGCCAGCCATGATTAGCTAATCGGGTTAACGAAAAAGAAAAAAAAGAGAGAAAAACGACCGTATACATTGTTAAATTTGTTGAATGGTGCTGAATATGAATAAACACAAGGATAATTAGTCGTGAATGACATTTCGATATGGCGATCATTCGCTCTTTAAAAGTTTTACCGAGCCTTTTTTCTCATAGGGCACTCGGAGAACTAATCACTGTGGCATATGCGTCTTTCCGGAAATTATCATCTGGGCGAAATATACCGAAACACGGGGCAGGGGACGCGTGCGCAGCGTAAAATATTCCGCAGGAAAAGCTACTGCGCGTGCCCAGAACGTGTTAAGCAATCACTAGACAAGGACGGTAGCCCGCAGAAGGTGAATGTTGGAATGGTATATATAACGAGAGGTCGGAAAATGCTGAAGGCGTAAGTATGTTTTTTCTCGAAAATAATGTGCGTCAGGTGACACATGGCATGCCATTTCACATATACATCACGTCATGCTCAGTAACACATCGCAGACTTTGTTTTCAGGTCAAAACAGTTTTTTCGGCGTCGGCTTCATTGGCGGCGTGTACGACCGAATCCGTCGCCATGGCCAGCCTTGAAAGATTGGCCAAACCCTCACTTTGACGCCTCGAGTAGGACTAATTCTGCTCTCATCGACGGATTCAAATCTTTATTGTCGGACTGTCGATTGTGGCGCCGATTCGTCGACTCAAAGCTTCTACCATTCTTTCTACGCACACTACCGAAACCGTTCTTGGTGGCGGATAGTTATAGTCGTGACGTCACAGATAAGAGCCATTAGACGGGGCCACCGAAACGCCTCGGTGCATATAGCTGAGCATTATCTCTGGGTCCAAGTAAATAGGTCTCCGCGTGCGCTGTGGGAAAGAGGACACAAGGGCATTTCGAAGAGTGCCGAGGCTACAGCTCTAATTTACGAAAGTGCTCGTCAGTATAGTAAAAACTGCAATAAAGAGTAGAAAGACAAATAATTTGCGGAACCTTTTTATCAAACGATCGACTTTAGTGAAAATAACCTCAGGTCTAGAGTATTTGAGCACTAAGTGTTGTCGTCCAGGCGAAAGTGAGCGCCGAACACTTCGATTTAAAACTGTAATAAATTAGGATTAGGTGGTGACTGATGTATACACTTGAAGCTCAGATTGAATTGGAGCCGCGCCTAGATGTTCTGCCTAACAGAGTATCGGAAACACTGGGGTAGCACAAACAACGACAATTAGCTCTGGGTTAACACACGCGGTTGAATCTTGGGATTCCTACGTGATTTGTCAGAAGCGTACTTGTCTAGTTTGTAGAGACTGCCGTAAAATTCTCTAGAAGTAACGATGTGTTCGTAGGGAATGTTAATGACGCAAGTCAATGTCGAGTGTTGCTTAACGTTGAAGAAGTATAACTCAATGACGCATTACAAAACTGACTGGCTATAACGCTCACGTCCCCAAATAAACGAGGAAACAAGTTAAATATAGAAATAGCAGTTATGACTGCCTAAACGATGCCAAAGGTTATGCAAGTATGAAATGAAGAACAAAGTTATAAACATTCATATGAACAAAAAACAAGTTAGTAAGATATTCATTAAAACTATTTGAACAAAAGTTGGAAGAATAATAAAACTTAAAAAGAAAAGGGCTACAAACGAGTTTACTCCTTTAAGTTCAACATTCCTATTTTATTGTGGAATGCAGCCTGCGCTTACAGCACGAACTCAAAATGTGGAACAAAGCTTTGAAGTATTCGAGCTCCTTATAATCTCGCCGTCGTTACGCGCAATGTCTTTTGACACCGAAGCAGAAGAACTAATTTGAGTGGATCTTTAATTTTTCAAATGCAACTTATATCCCCATTTATTGCTAGCTAGTTGGGATGCCTATCTTTATGCATATTTTCGTGAACTCGATTGCTCACTGCACTTTACCACCAACAAAATAAACTTCTGAGATCGAGCCAATCTACCCCCCAGATATCTTGCATACCCCTCTTGCTTAAGGATTGCTTTAGCACAATACTGTGTTGGGCCTCAAAGAAAGGCCCGGGATAGCCTGCTGAGGCTCCCGTAAACTGCCAATTGGAAAACGCTGTATCTACTTGCTCTCGTTTGAGGCTTGTGCAAGGCAAGCGCAATGACATTGAAAGCCCGCGGAGACACTGCTAATTTCATGCTCCTTGCTTGCAGGAAGCCGACCCTCATATTTTTTCTGAAGGATGACTCTGCATCAGTAATCATTATATCTATTCGGCGAAAGTTGAAAGAAGGTACAAAGCTAAAAACTATGACTCTAGAGAAAAGATCGTTCCACAGGGACAGCTCAGTACCAAATGTCCCTTCTTGCTTTACAAATGGCAGAAAAAAAGACTGAAGGAAACAAGTAATGACACAACGTGTCAAACTCATTATAGACGACACAGGGTACACCTTAGATTTTGATGAGGCTAGAGGATTGCCAAAGACACCAACCGAAGCATTTTAGCGGCAGCCTTCGGCGTCAGCGTCAAGCGAGGCAGCGGTGGCGGGCAAGCTTGCCGTAGCTATATACTCTTTCTGGCTGATTCAGCTTCGCATGATGTCACTTTTTTTTTTTGTATTTTTTTCTTTTATAATTTTTTGTCGTGGTGTGAGGGCGTCCGAGTTCCAGTTGCGGCTGCATCCTTCCTTAGAAGCTGCACACGGCTTGGGGAATCTTCTAGTAGTACGGCCTGGACTCAGCTTCGGACAGAACGGACCTTCGCCCCCTAGTCGCCACAAAGGTGGACCTCGGATGTTCTTTGCCTGGAGTGCCTGGAAAAGAAAACGGCGGAATGAGTCGGCATCCTGGTATTCTGCTTAGGCGAAGGATAATGACGACCCATGCTGCAACAAAACATCATCGACCGAAGTCTTTATCTGAATCCTTGATAGACGATGGCACAAAGAAAATTTCTTTCTAAGATACGAAACAGCAAGCCGGACAAACACCCTATAGACAGTCATAGTAACCCTGGAGCTAGAAGACAAAAAGGGACGGACAGACACCATAGCTATGTCTATCCTTAACCAGCTCGACTGCCTACTTGCTTTAACATCACCCTGTAGAACTTTTCGTCGCTTATCACCGGGCAAAAAATGCCGAGTCACTGAGCTGCGGCCGCATGCGCAGCGTCCGATATACACCAACTCATGTTTAGATGGATGGATGGATAAATAAAAACGGCTGAGCCCTTTGGATTGGGCGGTAGCTTACGCCACCTAGCCATTTTGTTTTACCATTTAAGCTTAGAATATTTAAATGTGAAATCTGTATTCACTCCGCAGTGCAAAGAAAGTGAGGCTATGAAACCCCCTTGCCATCAGTGAATAAGAAAATACCTTGTTTTTTCTCGATTTCTGCCACCATTCACTTAACCTTTGCTTGGTAATCTCTACAGTCTTGAAATCCACTCTCCCTTCGCTGTCTCTAAGACCCAATGACTTTATTAAATCTATGTTCTCTTCGGTCGGCATAGGGTGAAGCCCTTTACAGTAGAGTATGAAGTGCTCAGCCGTCTCATCCTCCTCTCCACAAGCAGTGCACACTGTATCCATTTTCTGGCACCTCACTGTGTATGTTCTGGTTCGCAGAACACCCGTCCTCGCCTCAAACAACAATGAGCTTCCCCTAGAATTGTCATAAATGCTTTCTTTGGCAATAACTGTTTTGTTTAATCTTCAATGTTTAATCTATACAAACAAACCGGAGCGGCCCTAGCGGACGCCACCGGCGCCGCGCATGCGCGATGGGGGTGTGGGCAAGAAGCTCACCGTCGCCCATAAACAAACCCTTGGAACGCGATGTTGTCGGCGTCGATGTAAGTCCCCCTGCCCTTTTTCACTTTCGAATTGTTGATTCTACGTCTTCCTGGCGATGTCTGACTACCTGAGCGGCGTCAGCGAAATTACTGAGGCTCGTTACACCGCAAAACTTCGCGAGAAAAATGTGACATGTGGCGATTCATTCCGCGTGGACGTCGCATTATGCACGCTAAAGCCTGATTCGCATGATCTTTCGCTCGCAATTTTCAGTCGCGACGTCGCTCGGGCTGCAAAAGCCTGAACCGTAGCTGAGATGGTCGACGTCGATGCTGAAAATAGCAAGCAGGACCGGACCAAGTGAATTAGGCCTAACAAGTCGGTGATTGCTACTGGTAACAGTGATCAACATCTCCTTGTATCTACTGTTTTATCGAGCCTGCTTACCAACCTTCAAATTTAAGTCTTTTGAGGCCTGGACTTACTTCTTATCGCAAGCACCGGGCCAACAATTGGTCTACGGGCCGGCGTCGTTTAAGAGAGCAGACGACACGCAGAAACATTTGAAAGATCAGACGACAGTTTGAAAGATCAGGCGGGAGTTTCGGACCACATGCGGACGTAGTCCGCATGTGGTCCGCACAACTTGACGGTTTTCTGGCGTTCATGTTGGAGCAAAACGAATAGATCTGATGACCATAAGTATCTGTGAATTCAACCCAAAGTGCTTCCCGCCCAAGCAATCGTTGTCCGACGGCGTCTGCTTTCCCCTTTTCACGGCACATATCGAGATTCTCGGACGAACCGAGCACGTGAAAACTGACCTTCAAACCTTTCTCGACACTTTTGGTACGGCCCTAGTCGCGGCGTTTTGACGAGAAGGCAGGTTTTTGTCTGATTCTTTTCAAAACAACGCAGGAATACACGTCTGGCATGGGGACTTCTGCCCACAGTCCAAGACCGGAAGTGCGACCGACCCGCCACCACCGCGCCGTGACGTAACAGAGATGAGTTCGTGTGTACTGCACAGCAGATGAACTGTGCATGCTCAGAAGGCGTTCCAGAGCCCGGCAGACAAATATGGAAGCCCACAGAAGGCGATTTTTGCAAAGGTCTATACTCCGTTTCATTTTGAGTCCGACTCCGTCACGCGTATCCGATCGCCTGGACCCCCAACGCGGCGAGGGGGAAAAAAGAGGGAAAGGAGGACACCTTAGTAACGATAGACGCCCACTGCAACGGCGCCTACGCCGGATTGGCTGGCTCGTGGAGATAGACGCTGCCGCGGTCAACATAGGCAGCGGTTACAACGAGCTTCCGAAGCGATAACGTAGTCTAGTGGTAAGGTGTCTGCCTTGTACGCAGCGGACCCCGGTTAGATCCACTGTGTGAGCTTACTTTTTTTTTTTTCTCGTACATTTTATTTTGCGAGTCATTTGGCGATATTTAAGGCATATCTTTTTTACAAATAACACAGAAAAAAAAAAAAAAAAACGAATGTTTTCGACGAAGCTTTGTTCAGCTAAATGGTGTGGGACTCCCTTTCCGGAGGTGCATGGGGGACAAAGGGGCTTGGGTTGCCGGCTGGACGCCGTGAAGCGGCGTGTAATTTGGGGGGGAGGGGGGGGGAGGGAGGAGCAAGTGAGTAAACAGTTCCGTAATGAGCAGCCGCAGACTTTTGCCGCGAAGTGGCTTAAACACAGCAGGCGGGGGGGCTGGGTTACCACGCTCCTCAGTGATACACGGGCCGTCCGAATCCGAAATGCAAGTTCCCGCGCGTTGCCGAGTAGCCAATAATAATTAGGGTGTGTGGATATTTAGACAACATGTAGTTGGTCAGGCATTTCAAAGTTGCGACGAGTCCTTACTGTACACTCTAAAAAAAGTTTGTGGGTCTACTTTCACGCACAACACTTGGAGAGTCAATCACATTAAGCAATGCAAAACGTCACGCTTGCATTGCTGCATGTCACAACTCAGACGGCGTTTTTTGGTCTAAACATATGTTTCGGCATCGCCATTCGCTGACCTGCCTCCGTAAGTTGCGGTGATTGGCTCTCCGAGTGTTGTGCGGGAAAGCAGACTCACGGTTTTTTTTTTAGAGTGTAGATGAGACATTTAGTCAGTGCAGTACAACCGCTTGCCTGTGTTCTTTAGCGTGCACCACGCAGTAGTTGTACACGACCGCAAGCCGGTACGATGCTCATCGAGATCGAAGCGGGCAGGGGTGGGGATTGAGCCCAGGATTCCTGTGTTCTGCAGCGCGAGCTTTCGCTCCACGTCCTCCGAGCTGGTGTGCGCCAGCCCACTCGGCCACCGATGCCCCCCTCGAGCAGCCAATCCGGCGTGAGCGCCGTTGCCTAGGTGTCGTCCTCTCCCTCTTTTTTTTCCTTCGCCGGGCTGGGGGTCCAGGTGATCGCGACCGAGTCCGTCGCTACAAGCCGGTAGAGCCAGTCAAGCAGCGCCAAAAGTGCTTCGTCACGGCGCTTACCGTTTGTGTCTTTGTGGGCATGCCGTCACCGGCTAAACCAATCAGGCGCTGAAAAAAAGCGCGGGCTCGCGGCTTATTCTCTGTGCGTGAGTAGTTTTGTCAGTGTTAGTAAACCAACAAAAACGACGAGCGCTGTGATGATGCAGTTTTTTGGAGCTGCTTGATTGACTCCGTCGGATCATAAAATTGGCCGCGGTCGGACTTTAAACGAAACGGAGTATAGGAGCCGGCCATTTTCTCGGGCCACTAGACTTACGAGACATCCTCTTGCCCCGCATGCCGAAGAAGCCCGAGCCCCGTTTTCCCTGGAGCACGGCTCGGCGCAGCTGGGCGATGAAGGAGTCCACGCTGGCCGGGGCCAAGAGCCGCTTTCCGCGCATGGCGTGGAAGGCCCTCTTGTCGGCCTCGTCCCAGTCCAGGGAAGGATCGTCCTTCTTGCCTCGCATGGCGTGGAAGGCGCGCTTCTCGTCGTCGGCTGCCGCCGCGATCTCCAGGTCGTCACCGCCGTCCAAGCCGCCGTCCCAACCCAACTTTTCAACCAGCGAAACTTCTCCCACTTCGGGCTCGTTGCCGACCTCCGAACTCTGCGAGGGCACGCGGAGAAAAAAAAAATAGTTTTAACCGCATGCACCCTCTTCGGCTGGTGGCAGTCTAGAGTCTGGACGAGGAAGAAGAAGGCATGCGCTTCAAATCTTGTACCTAACTAAAACAACAACAACAACAACAACAACCTTGCAGCTACATGTTTGACTTCATCAGATGCTGCTGTGAGCAATAGTTTCTCATATATCTTTGCTTCGGGATCATATGTGCTTTAGATGGCCTTACATATCGGGGTGAAGGTGCATCAGCGTGCCTTGCTGTTACCAATGCCGGTGGGTTTATGACGAAAGGGGGTCTAATATACGGTGTAAAAATTTTGTTTTAATAGCGTTGCAAAGAAAACTGAGTCAGACGCTTTCACTGTCATGATTCATTTTTACGTGCCTCAAACGAAATATTACATGTTAACGGGTGATGTCGCTGATCTCAACTTTGAGAAGCGAAATATTTTTTAGGTTCTATTTTCAAAACACACGTTTTGTAATATTGGTGTTTGCCGCTTCTTGTTATGAAAATAAAATAATATTATGTAAGACAGTGCAAGTAACCATCTATCGCAACAATTGTTCCTGACCATTTATTTAGGACTGCCATAAATAATCTATACTGCTCAGATTGAGCTGCGAAGTGTACTACTGCCACTAACCCCCACTCCCCTCTGTAATGCCAATGGCCTTGAGGGTATTTTAAATAAATAAATAAATAAGAGCACATGCAATCAAGCTTTGAATGCGCTTAGATGGAGGAGAGAAATCTTTCCCTCCAAAAGTCTGAATGAATCATGTTCAGGGAGGACGCCGATAATCAACCTATGTTACAGTGTTGCCCATGCGTACGAGTGAAATGCGAACAGCGGAGCACGTGGCGTACCATACATGCTGCGCAACCTAGAGGCCACTAAAAACTGATAAAAATACAGGGTGGAAAAAGGGCTGCGTGGGTGCGCACTAACTCCGACTTGCTGATGGACCCTCGTAGCCCCTCTTTTCACTCCGCCGTTTTATCAGTTTCCAGTGGCCTTTAGTTTGCGTAGCCGGTACCGAAGGCCACATGCGCTCCGCTGTTCACATTCCATTTGTACACAATAGTACGGACAGTATAGTGCAGTCGGATAAACATAATCTTCAGCAGGGCTGAAGGTCTTTCCTCCTCTTGTTTTGAAATCATCTACAGATAAGCATCTTAAGCAAATTTAAAGGAACAAGATAATAAAAAAAGAGCGTGAAAGCTATGTTAAAGAACTCATTGAGGAATTACTTTCCGGCAGCTATTGGGCAAGGAGGAAGTCCCGTTTCTGTTTTTTTCAAATGCATATTTTAGCACTGTCTACTGCCCTGATTTTGATTTTAACTTTCGATCACAAAATCGACCAAGGTTCATGGTCAAGACCAACAGACGAAATGTCAAGGTGAAAGACACGAAGTGCACGTGGATATAATAGAAACGGAATGTTTTTTTTTTCTTTTTTTTTAATTTGTTCCCTTATTGCCAAGTGTGAAAATCATCGAGGTCACCGCAGATGGGCTCTGAGTGTCGTTCTGGGCCTTGTACACGTGCCGCCGATCTTCAACAATAACCGATTTAAACATAACAAACATATAAATCCATATGTGTTGACCGTTCACACAAATATTCTCGGAGGCAGGTGAACGATTTTACTTTTTGGTTTCGTTCATGTAGCGCGTGGTGGAATGAGAAAGTTTAACAAAAAAGGGAGACCTTAGGAGGCAACCTTTACGAATCACAACATCAAGCAGAAAATGTGAAGCCATAAAAGCTTTTCCAGTACTTGGCAGACTCGGTGTTGGAGTGGTTTGGGATCCCAAAATAGAAAGGAAAATTTTATTCAGGTTCTGGGCGTTTACCTGGCGGTTTACCTTCGACGGTTTTTGACCTTGCCTCGCGCGTATGGACATTATGTTACCGTTTGCGTCTACGTTGAATTTTCAATTTCGCCGCTTTTTCAACTTCAGAGAAGATTGGCCGATTATTTCTTTACCTCTGTTAGAAGCCTCAATGAGTCTTAGTGAATCGCACCGTACATCTTGAAGAATGTACGGTAGGAACCAGAGACAACATTACAAACAACAAAAAAGAAACCTTCTCAATTGACAAAAAGAAGAATATTAGAAGCCTCCGTGAATGAAGGGTAGTGCCCTACCTCAGCGGGTTTACGCATCGCCTAAAAAGATCGCTGGCCGGCAGGGAGTTCATGTGGTTTGCTCAGCTCCCAACAAGGCCTATGCCATGTGCCATAGGGTGAACAGTGAGGCCGACAACAACGAAATGAACATCTGTGGCACCGCACACAAAACACATTACGCCCCAAACAAAAAGGGAGTCGTATACAGTATTCAATTGCCATGAAGAAAATGTTACAAAGGCCTAACTGGCAGATGTATTAAAGACTGCACCAGGGAACATGCAGCTTCAGTAAATACACTAACAGCAGACGGCTATCTTCCGGGGTGCTGTCGGGTGTGCCAATGTGTTCCCGATGACCACCACATAAACATCGTGGCTAGACACCGAAAACAGCTCGGAAGAGAAATCCTGGAGGTCTTGGCCATTGACGTGAACAAGGACGAATGCGGGAGCGCCACTTCTATCGCGCTACAACCCAAAAGAAATATGTACCTGCGGGGAGCTCCTCATGCAGGAAAGAAAATCCGAAGGATGAAAATGAAAACCAACGATCCGAAGGTAGCTCCTGAATATAGAAATACTCATATCTCGCAACTAAGGGGTGTAGGTGAAAAAGAGGTTTATCTTCAGTAAATGGTCGCTAGACCAGCAATGAGCTTGTTCCCTTTTCTCTCCCTTTCTCTCTCTCCCTTCTTCGTGTATCTTCCTACATTCAGCTGGCATTTCTCAGAAGCGTAAATTATCAACTATCTCAGCTACAGGCTGTCACAATCGAATGAATCATCGGACACAGGGTATTTGGCTAATGTGCGTTGGTAACTAAAGAACAACGTCCCAGAAGAGCAGACAGCTTAAAGGGGCTCTGCAATCATATTTAAGCCTCTACCTTTTTTGCGGTTTCCACGTCTCTTGGGGTTCGGGCAAGCCAGCGGGCGAGGAGAGAGTAACTAAATATCTGTGCGTCATATTTTAACCGGACGACGCGGAAACCTCCTCCACCGACGAGGGCGACCCGCAGTACCGAAAGCGCGCAAAATGTGACACGTCTTTGGTCCTGGGCTTACTACTGGTCAGAGCCGCTAAAAGCTTCTCTTTAGTCGAAATACAAAATATAACTGGCGCCGAACCGTTTCGATTATTTATAAAAGTAGTTTTTTTTTTTTCAGAATTTTAGATAAAAAAAAAACGAATGCAGTTCATAAAGTACGGAAACAAGAAATGACCCGTCGACATACCCGCCACCAAGCGGTGGAAAAGGCGGCGTATACTAGAGAAGAGTAGTGGGATCAGGCGCCGGACACGGATAGGTCCCGGATGTGCGCGGCGGCGCTGCGGTCGTATGGGCGGGAGGATCCGACCGGCTCCGAGCGTTCCGAAGGCCTTCGGCGAGAAGCATTGTCTTGTGGTTTGGCCGTTTCGCGGTATGGCAGCGCAAAGTAGCTCCCATTCTGCACTGATCTTTACCCCGTGTTTGCTGTCGTTTGTGGCCAATGAAGTGTCATGCCGAATTAGTATTTAATCGCGCAGCAAATGCAATGAGAGCCGCTCTGGCTGCCCGCTGCATACAGCCTATCCAGAACACTAGAGTTCCTCGATATGCTCCCCCGAAGGGGGAGCATATCGAGGAACTCTAGTTTGCAACTGCGCAACTCTGCTCCCCGAAGGGGGAGCAGAGTTGCGCATTTGTTTTCCCCACGCCGCCACGCTGCTATTGGCCGAGATCCATCACGTGAGGAGCAACGCATCCGGCGCCGTGTAAGACAGCCACCTTTACGGTCGTTCCGCCGACGTTTCTCTTGCCCCGGCGTATGTTTCCCTGCTTTCCGCCTCCTTTTCCTCCTCTCCTGTTTTCCATGCGCGGCGGCACGCGCGGCGCCGCTATTCACCAAATTTAGTCACGTGAGGAGCAAAGCACCCAGGGCGTGGAGGAAAGCCGGCGCTACGGTCACCCGTCGAGGCTGAATGCGCAACTCCGCTACCGTAGGTAGCCATATACAGGAACTCTACAGAACACGCTTTAATGGCGCCCTCTCGCGCCGTCGACACGGAGTGCGGCAGCCGTGAGCGCTCGATGAGCTCACTACCCCTCCTCTAGTTCACGGCCACTCTCAAGCAATTAAGGACGTCATGAGGGAAATATTTTTTGCTTGTTTTTGTAATTTTAATTTGCCTATAACTTTTAAAATAAAGGGAATTTTGAGAAAAGGAAAGTTTCACTAAGTTACTACGTTCAGTGCGCTCAGGTTCGGTGCAAATTAAAAATTAGTAAAAAGCCCTTTAAGTAACACCGGGCGCGGCTTAATATATTCGCGCTTCTCACTCCCTGATTGTTTCTCGACGTTCGGGACGAACCAGGTCCTGCCTTTCTTAAGCTGTCAGTGAAACGTTTCAACGCTGTGTTTCAAGCTAAAAAGAGTAAACAGTTATTGATTTTAATTGTATACCCTGTGGTAATACAAACGTAAGTAGATGGCAATTTTATCTAGGGACAACCGTATATGCCTACTTGTACAAAAAGTTGCTCGTAATCTCATAAAAATTTACACAAAACCCGACCTCTTCCGACTTATCGCATTACAAACAAACAAAATCGCGTCGTGCCGGCGTACTCGTAATGGTCCATTCACATGACGAATACGTATTTGCGGAGAAAACTGAGTACGCCATAAACAAAAGCTACAAGGAGAAAAAAACCGGGAGAAGGAAACTGCAGCGTAGAAACTCCGAGCAAGCATAGGCAAGATGGCGTCGCGTGTAGTTGACTCGACCATTTTCAGATGTAACGTTGAGCAACTTTGGCAGTCGCCATTTTTCGGGCACGAAGCGTGTGACTGGTTCCGAGTTCTCGCCGAACGCTGACGCGACCCTCGTACCCAATACGTGCTCAACGAACCTGTCCAAACAATGGCGGACTCGGATAATTAGCGCAGCAGCTCCTAGATGGCGTGCACTTTTGAAAAGGGTCTGTCGGCGAAGTTGCTACATTCTCTTTACGTGGCTTTATCCAAAGAACTTAGCTGTGGCTTATCCAGCAGAACGCAAGTTAAGAAGTCTAGGAAGTCAGCTTCGGGAATGATCTAGGTGTTATAGCTCTGGTGACTGATAATTGCGTGGCTTTATGTAAAAGAAAATCACACATGCACACACGCACGCACGCACACACACATGTGTGTGTGTGTGTGTGTGTGTGTGTGTGGTGTAGTAATTCAGTTTGCCATTCTGAAGACACTTTCTACCTCAAATATATTTTTTTTAAACACCCACGAATCATTACCGTTACCTTTGTGGTAAACTACAGGATTGTACTTTTGCGATATCTGGTTCCGTCGTTTAGCAAAAACCGATACCACGGTAATTTTAGGATTGTTGCTCCCTTAGTCGGGGGTAAAAAGACTAAATAAAAAAAAAAGTGCATAAATGCAGCCTTTTTTTTATTTTGGGTCACTTTATACATCACGCCTGATTCAAGTAACGATATGGTTCAGTTAACGTAACTGAACCATATCGTTGAACACGTTTACTGTGAACGTCGTTCGACTCACCTGAAACGAGGCAGTTCTGACTGAGCTTAGCGTGAGCAGCAGGACCAGAGACCACAGAGCCACAACTTTCATCTCCGGATGGTCCATTCTGCGCATGAACGAGGGTAATACGCATTATAGTATTCCGTCCGTGCTCACCTCTGGACGAATGCAGTGCATACAGAATTGCACTCTAAAAAAAAGACCAGTGAATTCACTTCTGTGCTCAACAACGAAGATGGTCCACCACAGAGAACAACAGAAGGATCCTGGCGAATGACGCAGCTCGAAATATGATTTTAAACATGCGATGTGCACAGGGACAACGTTTAACGTTTTGCTTATGAACCCTGTGCATGTGACTGTTTTTTCCTTGAGTTTAATCGTATTCTCAGCTTTGTGATTCACTGGGATTATCCCATTCCTCTCCATAATTGACTGTCTCCATGTTCTGCAGAGAAGAGCAACTAAGATAATTTATTATACAGTGGTATTGTTTAATCACCTTCGATTATCTACTTCGAAAATATTTGGTAAGAAAATTTTGTGGATGCCGAGAAGTAAACAAACTTTACCCACACTCTTTTTTTAATTGGACGCGAGTTGCTTTCAACAGTTTGAGTAAAAAAAGAAAATGAAATATATTGTGTTCTTTCGCAAAACAACGGCGTCATTAATAGGGTCACTTGTGATCCCAGCTAAGAAACGTGCTGAGTCATGATATTACGCGCAATTATTTTGGGTCACAACAGAGTGTGGCTTGGAGTGACTATGGCTCTTGCACCTTAACCAACAAAGTTTACTTTCCCAGTCAAATACCTATATATGAGTTTACACAGAAATACCCGAATTTCAGAAAATAATTGTTTTTCTCCATAATGCAGAGGTACGTTTTCTAAGAGAGTAGAAGACCAACCAGATTGGCATATTACGGCACACCGGGACCTTTTAATTCTACATGATAAATTTTGCGATGGATTTGAACGTTAAAAGTTCCCGTTCAGCCCTGTAAAATGCCAAAATATGTCCGCACAACGCGCTTGATTGCAGATCCGTCATTTTAGTGGATAATTCAACTCACTGATAATGATCTAGCTCCGAGTCAATGTATGCACCCCAAACTTGCAATTTTTTATCACACCTGTGTCTCTCATGAGCCTGCAGTTCCCATCTAGCGTGAAAAACCCCAGAAACACAGAAATTGTTTTCCTTAAAGATTGTAAGAGTCAGTATTAAATAAGTGAAGAATTTACAGCTTCTGAATAACCCTCACGCCCACAAGGCACACCAATCGGCTAAAAGAAACAACAACCCGAAGGTCAAGATTTCGTAACAGTTTCAAGATTGTAAGAGTCAATATTACAAAGGGAAAAAATTGACGGCTTCTATATAGCCCCCCAAGCCCACAAGGCACACCAATCGGTTAAAAGAAACAAAAACTCGAAGGTCAAAATTTCGTAACAGTCCTAATTTTTTGAACCTGTTGTTTTCATACTCACTAAATCAGGTCAGCGTTAATCCCCTTTTTTCCCATTTTCCTGATTATGTTTCTGGGTCGAGCGCCTCAAGCACAATAACACAAGCCCACGTGCACTTTCAGAGCAATATATATATTACGAGAAAACTCTAAAACAAGATTGAACTTTTCCCTCGAGCAAGTATTCGTAACAAAGGCGGACTCAGCGAATTGATGATTAAACACTCGCTTAAATTTAAAGGACCTGCTTACTTTGTATGCTTTTTATTGCTGATATAAAGTTGCTTAAAATAAAGATTTTACCAACGCTTTCGGCTGTTCTACTACCGACAACGCCAGAACCGGTGTTGAAGCCTCTCCGGTGCTAAGCAGTCGCAAGTGTGTGAACTAGCCATTATGGTGCAACATAGTGTAGCTACTCGAAAGTAAGGGCTCCCCTCTCAAGCCATTGTTTAATGTCGTTTAATGTTCCAGCTTCGATAAATGAGAAAAGTGTAGTTTACACAAAGCCGTAACAAGACTTCGACTCAGTAAAAACTTTGATCCACCGGTTCGCATGCGCCCGTTCTTTCGCTCTGCCATTGGGGACTAATGTGGCAGACTGGCGGTATTTTCGTAAAGCCTTCCGCGGCGGTCACTCCTAGACTAAAGTCAACACCCTCTACGAGTGTGAGGCAGCCAATATGCGTGATGCAGTTTACTTATGCCTGCAAAACTTCCCCTCTCCTTTAGACATCTAGTTATCATTTTTATCATCTACCAAAGAGCTAATCGCAACGTTACTTGGCAAGGCTTCTTACACACTCTTCTTTTCCATTGTCACGCTGGATAGCTTTCGGGCGCTCTTATCTTCCGAGTGTTTCACAAATAATCATCACAAAAATTTGAAATGTGGTACCTATAAGGAAAACTCGCTAATATCTGACAATACCAATATAATGCAACATGCGTGCATTTTTATTATTGTCATTAATACACAACCATCTAAAGCTGAATTTTTAACATATCCACAATTGATGCGATGCTGCTCTACATGTGATTGAGATTGAGTTTTGTTTTAAATATTATTATATTCCAGAAATATACTAGTATTCTCTTCTATAGGCAAATCGAATGTCTTACATACTTTTATTTTGCTTTCTTAACAACATTGCGATTAACACAAAAAGGTATATGACAATATTGCGCAGTAAGCCACACTACTCCCAAACTCAAATTAAAGTTAACGCATTTTTTTAGTGTTCGGAATCACTGAAAGGCGTTAGTGTCAAGTAATAGTTCTTTTACACCTGGACGTAATACTTAAAGGGGTTCCTCAAGCAACAGTAGCCTACTCGGCGCACGAAATTTAATAAGGCCTTATTCAAAAAAGGTATTTTCTAGAGTCTAGACGCTATGTATTTATTAATTGCCTTTACATGTTTTAATTTGCACATTAAAAAAAATTAGGTACCCAAATGAATCAAATTACATTTCGTCGGACCAAAAATGTAAGTTTAGAAATGTTAAAAAATTTACGAAAAGTATCCTGTATGTATGGTGTATCTGTAGTGTGAAACCGTGAAAGCAGTAAGTTATCCCAAAAGTTCAGTGCGAGAAAACAAACATTATTTCTGAAGATCCGAAGTTCTGTGACGGTAAGCTCATTTCTTATTAAAAACTTTTGATTCGGATGGGTTCCTCCTTTGATATACTCGCACCATATAGTACGTGAGACCTGGTGTCACGTTTGTACTAAATTGCTAAATTGTTTTTCACGGAACCAGGTTGGTGGTCTGGCTCGATACATTGTGTTCATCAGTGGTGTAAATACATTATTCAATATAAAAATATAAATGTAATACTTCTTAGCGCACGAAACACAACAACTGCACCAGCCCGAAACCACTGAAGCCTGATACGACCTCATTTATCTTCAACATTTTATAATTCTTAGGTCTTACAGGGCCAGTATAAAACAAGATAAAAAAAATATGTTCTTAAAGACTATTTTCTAAAGAGTCTTTTTTTTTTAGTTTGATAATTTTCGTTTGCGGCGACTGTACAAATATCATTTGTGTTAGGAAATATTTGGGAAAGGGGGGGGGGATGTGTTGAACATGTTGTTCTGAGATTTTCTTTCTAACCTGTTTGCAACAGATGAAACATTATAGTGGGTCTAATACCAAAGGCTAAATAAGCTGCAAAATGTGCGTACGTTTCAAATATAACCTTTTAGAAAGCGACCCGTTCATTCAAGCTCGTCTGGGTCCAGGAGTATTGAATGCTTCGAAAAGTAGAGAGCGCGGGAAGGGAGGGGGGGGGGGGGGTTACAGATCTCTTTGTGTTTCATTTCGCTTCTACAAACAACTCCTCCCACCCCCCTCCCCCCCCCCTTTTCTTTTTTCAACATGTAAATATGAATAAAAGAACGGAAGCAATTCACACTGATATGTTCGCTGACGCGAGAGCGAAGCTTCATCCGGCTTGAGCGTGCAGTCCAGTTCCACAATCTCAGAAACTTGCTAATTTCGTCTGAACGTGGCGCTGAACGATCCTCTCCGCTACTCTTTAAGTATTTCTGTTTTGTTTAATTTGTTTCGTAAATCACTTTCTAAAATACCTGCTCCGCTAGACACTCAAACTCTATACACGAGGGAGCATCGATCTCTGCATCTTCCTGTACGATGGGGACATCTATTGAAAGGCGTCGCGCCGCGGCTCTGTTTCTTTGTTGTTTTTTTGTTTTTTTTTCATTCATTTGCCCAAAGAGACGATCTAAATGCGGACCTTCCTTTGACGGTTAAATCAGAAATGAAATGAGGTCAGATGACGTAAGTGCGTCGTAAGCAAGAGTCTCAGTCCACATGTATTAGCGTAGCCAAACGTACATATACACGTAAATTGAAACAAATTTGACCCTACATATGGCGTTGTCGTCCCTGCTCCGTCTATACACGAATCAGCAGCGCCGCCTCTCGTGTCGCGAGAGAAAACTCGGCACTGCGAAACAGCAAGAAAGTGCGAATTAGCTTAAGGATTGACTTACTGGTGTTGCGGCACGAAAATAGATGGCAGCTCTGTCCGGACCCCATTCGAGCTATCTTGAACACTTTATCGGGACTGCATGGTGGTCCGTTTAAACTCACGAGGGGCGAAACGTGCGTAATACTTTCGCTTTTTCTTTTTGTTTCGTGGTTGTTTTTTTGGGCGCTCTTTGACATCGAATTCTCATTGGCTGCGGAGTGACATAAGTTTTCCGGGATTCGCCACACACGTTTTGTGAACTTTAGAATCTCAAGATTTTTTTTGAAAAAAAGAATACCATTGTCATTGACAACTTAAGAAACTCAGTGCGTGGTATTATGTTTGAAAACGTGGTTGCGCTTAGGGGCACAGACAAGAGGGTAGAACAGACAACGCAATGTACTATTGTACTGTCTGTTCTTTCCGACTGTTGTCACCAACAGGAGCCGTCGGCACGTGTGCGCGAGAACCGCGAACGCATGCCGCAACCGATCCACGCGATGTGGTATCATCGGCGTGTGACGTCACTTAGATAGGCTGTGTGTGGACACGTAGAAGAAGAGGAGGTAGACTCGAGATGAACGAGATTCGGAAGGTAGGTACCCGTCTCGGTGAAGAACGGGTAT